ATCTACACTCTCTGCCCACTTGACAGGAGTGACCACTCTCTACTAAGCTTTGACTTCATCGTTCATTGGCCCTCTTATAGGTCGATACCAAGAATCCTGCGGTCCTTCAAACGAGCCAACTTCGCTGCCCTAAGTGCTTACTTGGCAGCAAATCTGGATTCTGTTAACTTATCTCTAGAAACAAACGAACTCAATGATCAAATTGAGAATGTACTCCAAACAGGCGACTCCTTGTTCGTTCCCAAGATTTTCGCCCCAACCAAAAGCCGCCTTCCTCTTCCACGTTCAATACGTCGACTTTTGGATGAACGGACCGTCCTCTTCGCAAGGCACAAGCTCACTAACTTGGACAGTGACGCGTATAAATTCAAACATATCCGGAACCTATGCAAGAGCAAGATCAGGAAATTCTTCAACCGGCAACAGAAAGATATCTTAGTCAGGGCAAGAAGAAACCCCTCCTACCTCTTCAAACTTCTTCGTCATAAAAGGCAACCCAGTTCTTCTACTCTAGCCCTGACACTTCCTGACGGCTCCCCAATTACCTCACTCAAAGAGGTAGCAGATACCTTCCGATCACACTTCCGAGATATTTTCAACTCTGCCCCACCTACCCTCTTTCCGGCCCTACAGCTTAAGTCAGGCATAGCCCCTCTTGAACACTTCATTGTTTAGACTGAAGAAGTGCTCAAACTTCTCAAGTCATTAAACCCTTATAGCTCAATGGGCCCAGACGAAGTCCATCCTAGAATACTTAAATAGACAGCACCCGTGCTAACCCCACATTACGGGCGGTTGTTTCAGAACTGCCTAGATGAAGGTGAATTCCCTGAGGCCTGTATAAAGGCCATCATATCACCGATCTACAAAAAGGGACCTCGGCATCATGCCAGCAGCTACAGACCGATAAGCCTAACTAGCGTCCCCAGCAAAATTTTCGAACGTCTCATTAAGAGACACATTATTAAACACCTGAGAGAAAACAACCTTCTTTCTCATTCCCAATATGGCTTCGTTCCTGGCAGATCATGCAACACCAATATGCTATATGTCATGGAAAGTCTAACCCAGGCCTATGATGATGGTAAAATCTCACATGCCATCTTCATAGACTTTGTCAAAGCCTTTGACCGGGTACCGCATTCTCCACTAATGCACAAGCTGAAAATGTATGGTATCAGAGGCCGGCTTCTTAATCTTCTGGGCAGCTTTCTGTCCTCGCGCTCCTCCTCTGTTAGAGTAGGAACCTCTCCCTCCAACTCCTCCCCGATGACAATAGGTGTTCCCCAGGGATCCATGCTAGGTCCACTCCTTTTCGTTCTCTACATAAACGACCTCCCGGACAAAATTCCTGTCCACATTGCTATCTATGCTGATGATGTCACAATCTGGGGGAGTGACACATCAGCAGTGCAGGCAGCCATGGATGTCACCAAAGCGTGGTCATCAGACTGGAGCCTACCAATAAATGATGACAAATGTGTAAGCATGTCCTTTGGCAGGGGCTGCGCATACACCTTCAATGTATGCAACACGTCCCGAATTTAGACTGTAAACCAGCATAAGATCCTTGGCTTCTGGTTATCCAACTCTCTATCTTTTTCTTGCCACCACCAAAAAGCCCAAAAAGAGGCCTTTGGAGTACTCAACTTTATCAAGCGCTCTTTCCCTCTCTTTGATAAAGAAGGCTTTCAACTCTTATATGGCACTTATGTAAGACCACTATTCGAATAAGGGAGCCAAAATCGCGTGCTCTGGGTTTGTGGCTGATCGTAACTCCTTCGAACGAGTTCAGCGAAGAGCCACAAAACTAGTCTCTGGTCTTTTCCATGTTCCATACCTCATCCGTCTCACCATACTGAACCTTCACCCCTTAGAAAC